TTATTATTAAATCTGTGCACTACAGTATTATGCCATTTTACTCCTCTTTGCTTGCTCCTACCTAACCTGGTTTACTTCATAGTTTCACTATATCTTTTGACATCACTTCTCCGTATTATTGTAAATTTCAAGGGATTCAACAGTTACCTATCCTATAAGTTGCACATTCACTCACAACCTCAACTTGAAAGCATTTTAACGCTACTGCATAAGATAATCCCAACGAAAATTTCCCCCATATTTGACTGGTTTCGCAAATTAACATACAGTCACTGTTTTATAGGAGGAAATTACTGTTTAAATACTCATGACTGATTACATAGGCTGGAAGGTTAAAGTATGCTTTTCATATTCAGTTAATCAGTAGTCTTCCCTTTTCACGATAAACAACACCAAATTCTCCCGATCAAGTTCACAACCACTGCCATCGTGATGCACTTTCAATTTATGCTGAATGAGAACAGTTGAAGGACTTAATTCTCATTGGTCAAAAAGGAATATTCAACCAACTGGATGGGGTCATCACTAAGGTCTAGACGGTATACTACTTCCCACTTCGGCATGACCAAACGATGCATTCAATGCACTTCGATAAGTCAGACGCATACCGAATAGCTGTTATAAAGTATTTGACTGCAACGCCGAGCAACACGGATTTGAATACCTCAGAGAACACGTAGTTAACAAACCAAACGAAGGTAGGAATTTGCATTCAAGACGGTAGAAAAATATCCCAGAGAATCTTCAATAGGTACGAAAGACTATGGAGTAATATAAACATTTTCATTCATTAGAACTATATCGTCCAAGAGCATCAGGACTGCTACTACATTCACTGCTATAGGCAAGTTTCATCTTAGTAAACTTTAATACAAATACAAAGTGGATTTCACTGATGGACACACGTCAACATGTAGACTTTCTGATAATCTATATAACATACTCTAAGTCGACATATGTTCTATTGTACATAGGCTTCAGGACTCTTTCGCTTTCAGCAGAATATTACCATAAGATCTCTGGATATAAAGAGTTGAAAGCTACATTCAGGCCGATGAATTCAGCTAGTATCAACAGATGGTATGCAAATGTGGTTAGTACACCCACAATCAAAACCCTAAAGGCTTCTTTATTTTTATTCGATAACCATGGGGTCATTTAAATTTGGTATTCCCTGTGAGCGAATGAGACCTACTTGAGTAAGCACATCCATGAGTAAAGTGAAAATGAACGATAGGCACAACTGTACTTGGGAATCCGATAGGTCACCTCATCATAAGCTCCTTGTGCATGAGTCTTGGATATGATTCATCCCTCAGATTATTCCTAGTACACCTCCCAATGATGCTACCCAAAAGTGGATGTTCATTCGATATGGCACATATTTTTAGTAAATGGATCTAGTCAGTACCCTGCATGACAGTGTGATATTTCAAGTGAACTTATCTGACAGACGCTTATACTTTACGAATGCTGTACTCCTACACTCAGTCCCGGCCGGTAACTACTACCTCGCCGCAGTGATCGGGCCCGCATACCGCGGTGACCCAACAAGCTACAGTGGGTGGGACTTATTTTCCTGCAGGTCCTACCATGCCAGAAAAGTTGTCTGGATAGAGGTTAGACTAACAGCAGTTACCATGGAGTACATGGGATCCAGAATCCAACCAGAGGAAATGGCGTAAGAATTTGCATTGGTCACCGGCAATTATGGGAAAGTAGCTGTTCCGCTGTCTTGTAGATGAAACTTCAAGTCAAAGGCTCAGGGGTGGTCCGTTAAGAAAACCACCTGCTTCGGCCTGGGCAGTATCGCAGCCCTCACACTAACACTAAATACACTCAGTACCACTTGAGCAGACAGATTTAAAGTTACCACCCAAAAGGATCCAGTGTAGAAGTGGACAACGTTCACCAGTACCTAAGTTTGCCTCCCTATGAATGACCTGACGGGACGGAGAATAGATAGACCCCTACCTTCCTTTTGAAATGCTCATGTGAACACACTGGCATGGCATCTACTAGGCAAATTTCATTCACTAACTCCACGCGGCCTGGGGTGGAGTGAATAGGCTAATGAGAATGTTCGGTGCTTGTTACCAGGTTGGTCGACACGTAAGTCAAACTAGGGGAGGTGGAAAACACTGATTTTAACCCGGTGTTTAACACTGACTCCAAAAATTCAACACGAGCGAATGGGCAACAGAACGCAAATGTTGATGACACTCCACTTCTATGTTGACAAAACTTCAAGTCAAATACTCCGTGAGCAGTGCTCACGACAAGCGCCTGATTCAATCGGGGGTTCCGTGTAGCTTCTCAGTAGTTGCTGAATAGTAGTTGGTGAATAAGAATCGAAAGGAAATTCTGCTCGCTAACACACTACCAATTCACGTGTAACTGCAAGAGCAGTTACATTAGGAGAATAGGGAAAAGGCCTGTGTCAGATCCTTGGAACATGTACAAAAGCGCCTTTAATTAGAGGAACCGAATAGTTTGATATTGTTAATCGCCAAGCATCTTATAGACAGGACACCGAGTAAACGCATTAGGAGCATTCAAAACAATTAACAGACAAAACAGCACAAGTCTTCTTCGGTTTGCTGAAGCTAGCGTGATAGGACAAGTGAAACTTGACCTGTGTCCAAATGGAACCCGTCGTGGGACGTCAATTAACTCCGTCTCTATCATCTTGGTAACTCTTTTTCTTTTTATTTCATCATTTCGTCTCACACACCCATATTTTTCACTTGACTTTCGCATTAGACTTAGATTTTAATCCTTTGAATCCTACTCACTGCATTATATCAAAGCCTTTTCGTTCGACTTGGAACACACCAAATTTCCATTCTCCAATCTTATGGGTTGTCTTGCCGTTGGCTACGCAATGATCACTGACTTGGCACCACCCCAACAACAAAATTGCCCACTTTTTATGAGAATCTTCAACAAGCATCAGCTTCCAGAACAGCCATCACTGCAGTGCTACCTTGAGTCCCCTCTTAGTCCTATTGGAATTGCCTGTTAGAGAGTAGTGTTTCTGAGTCTGTTAAAATCCTGAAAACCCTATATACAGAAACACTTCAGTTACGATAAAATGCAAACAGCTGTCATTGCTGCTCTCAACCAACAGTGGAGTTACACAAAGCTGCCCAACCATCGATAACATTCCGGAGCATTTGTTCGGTGATGATGTAGATCTGCTGACTTATCCACTTTGAGTATGCATACTGTACTACTGTGAAATGCAATACAAGCCTCCGAAATTGCATTTAACCAGTGTCTGGGAATATGATATGGCGGAACACCGGCTTCTGAGGACTGAAAACGAACGTCACCCAAGGGGCTCCCATACCATTCAGTTTCAAAAACGAGGAATGATTGCCAGACCATGACGTAGCAATGCGGGATGAAGGGTAGTTAAGTTAGGTTAGCATCTAGTGGGGCATCACGACTCCTTACAACTAAGTGCGAGAAGTAATTTGAGCCAGTGCCTCCAAGCGTTATGAGAAACGGCAGATAATCGCAGTGGAGTGCATGCTACAGTTTCCTCTGTTACTAAAGGTAACACGAAATGATGAACGCTCTTCAAATGCTGTTTACTAGTTGTCTACCTAATTCTTTATGTTCCCTTTCCTTAACTGACTCCGCTAGTTTCCCACTCGATTTTATTGTGTAGTGCATCTCTCGGTATATCCATACTGCATCAGGTTTTTCTTCAGCATTAAATAATAGGTTCCCTGTTTTATTTCTACACATATAAAGTCATAACCCGAATTAACCGATGTAAAAATTTTGGATCAAGTGAACAAAATATAAAATACATACAGTTCACGATACCACAGCTGATAAATCCAACACTGAAAGCTCAGGCATGTAGTTTGGTGTGCAAATTGAAAACACATCAACATAAGTGGGAATTGCAAGAGACAGCTAGTTACGTTCAAACAATTTCAACGAGTTTGACCACGCATTGGTATAACTTAGAGAAGCAGTGAAATCCACTAACAGGTATATTAGACAGCTACTTCGTCCTGGTCTCGCACTCATCAGTAGCACGCGCCCACCATCGGAGTCTGAACCCACAACCTCCTAGTTACAAGGCAAGCTTGTAGACCATTCAACCACTGGGTGGAACCCACCCAACTCAATGAACAGCCCATGAATTCTAACTTCCACCAATTCGTGATATTAGCGCGACGATCTGCCAATGTCATTGACTAATATTTGTCCTCACTCCCTACCGAGTGGACTCCACTGGTCAAGACTTCTCACTAGGACTCCAGGCAATTTCATCCTGCACCCAGTCACTATAGCGAGCATCAGATTCATTTTCAAGAGTTTGTTTCAAGTCTGACCACGGATTGATATGAGTTATTTTTAACGACTTGAACATCATATACCAACAAACAGATGGCAGTGCCGGCTGGAATTCTGATTATCCGAGTAAAACAATATTGCAATCCCGTAAAGACCACCAGTAGAAATAACTTTATAGACCCACTTAAGACCACCGCAATTTTTTTTTAACAACGACGCCTCTTCGACGCACTGCAGTAAGCAAAATTGGATTCGTATCCTAAGCCAATGCGACGCATTTTCACGCAATTAATATCCGAATAATGCAAACCTGCTACAGGTTGTAACACATAAGTCATTTAACGCTATACTAGAACGAAAGAAATGCTTAATAGATGACAACTGTGATAGCGAATTAAAACTAAATGATCACAGTGAAATAAAAACAGTAAGCGCTGCTGCCTAACATAAATCAACGTTTCACTAAAAAAATCTACGCACCACAAATCCCAACATAGCCAGCTGGAAGGAAACAGAAATCAATCCAAAAAAGTATTCTTTAAGAATATTTACATCTGTATAGAGATCACATTTCCAAATAGTACAAATCATCAGACAGACAGACAGACAGACAGACAAATCATCATTCTTATTTACAATAATGAATACACGAGTATTCATGATGTTGAACAATAAACTACACTTCACTGTAGTGGAGGCGGTTGTTGTTGTTGTTGCTGTTGTTGTTGTTGTTTATTTGACTCAGCGTTAGCAGACATACGCTCTGTGATAAAAGGATGTTGTAAAGCTTCGTTCAAGGAAATACGGCGTGTAGGATCAAGCATTAGCGTTCTTTCTAACAGATCACGAAATTGTGTTACCTTTCGGAGGATTGGTTCACTCAACTTCGACTGGCCAACAAGATCTTTCATTAAATCTCTTGTAGGCTGTAAATTGCGAATCACTGTCGTTTTATCCTTTGTAAAAAAAATTATTAACAGTAAGCAAAGAAAGTGTTGTTATTCAATTCTTACTGAGTTGTCATTATCTGTCTAATATGCTATTTAAACACAGACACATACACAGAGAGAGGGAGAGAAAAAAAAACTAAGATGTATGCACATCACACCTCAAAAAGGCTGCATAGTTCGGCTGATTTTCACCCTATTGTGCCAACTGATCTGGATGTCATAGTCTCATATATTCGTTAGGGAATAGTAATGATACCCATCCTGGTGAATACTACTACTACACTCAGTCGTTATCAGCAATTCCTAAATACATCTGAACCATAGTTCAGGTGTGTGTGTGTGTGTGTGTCTATTCAGCATACTTTTTATTATTGAATACCGACAAATAGTTGCGTAAGAAAAACAAGCAGTTTTTAAAATATGACTTCTTTCAAGCAAAAGAAAGCCACACACTCACACAAACACCCAATGGATGGTAACATGGGCCACAATAGTGAGTGTATCCTGTAGACACCGTTAACTTTCACTAAAATTCTACTACCTTGATGCGTCACAGTCAGAGAACTGCATTTCCTAAATGCTACAAATGACTCCGATCTGAAGAATTCCTTCATGTGCAACTCAGGCAGTTGGGACTCAACACTCTACAAAGCAAAGTCATGTTGCTGATGTGTTGTAAATCAAAAGTTTGCAAAGCCTCTTGATCATATCACAGACGCAATACACAACAACTTTATTCAGGTATACTCTCCTGTGTTAATCTCGGTATAATCTACACTTACACTTTCTGGTTAATCAGCACCAATCAACGGGGACCTTACGAACCATCGTTCTGTTTGCAGTTAGCTACTCAGAAAAAAAATTACAAAAATGGAGCCAGTGTCTTCTCGTTATCTTCACCTACACTTTAACGTGAAATACATTCTCCAACTGAGCTTTGTTAGAGTTGTTGTTATGCGGCACAGATCCTACCAGTCACGTTATTCTATGTTGTCTGTTTTCCTTAAATCAGAATGTCCCTTTTTTCCCATCATATAATTTAAGATTTAATGTTGCAGTTTAGTCAAGTAACCAAGCTAGATATGTAATCATTTTCTGGCTAGCTTAAATTTTCTCAAACCCCAAAGCCTTATTATTGCAAGTTCACCTTCTGATTCACCAAGTGATATCGTCAATCCCGTATTGTTAGGCTGATACAATATAGGGGGGGGAGAAGAACAGTTTCGACGAGGACTAAAATGCCTACCTATTTCACCCGTCTAATTCAAAAACGAAACCTTGTCTACATCCCTTTGAAACACCGTATACTTTTAAAGTATGCTGGATAAAGTACAGAAAAGTCCAGTGTCTCAATCATATGGTTTTATATAACCAATTGACACCAGCTTATTGTGAAAGGCTTACAACACAGAGGAAACACATGACAATCAAGCATTTCGGAATATCTGATGATAAAGACGTTGGAGAGACAAACTAACTAGTCAAGAAAATGCGGAAAGTGAAATTTTCTGTTACTTTGTAAGGCTGAAGTGGATTACAGAGAAAGTTATGGGGATAGAGACAGCTCTCTGCTTTCCGTGTCAGAGTTAGTCATTAGTCTGTGAATGTTGTACAAACTAAGTCACTCACTCACTAGGACCTATCCCTTCATGTAGGATGAAACACACGATCCAAGTACTGGTAAATACCCCCATCCCCACCCTAATATATTTATTTTGATTACAGCTTGATTCCACACTGTATTTTCGGCACAGGTATGGAATTTTCAGCATGTGATATCGGTAGCACAAATTTTGCAGGCCGACCATAGATATCAGGTGTGCGTCGGTAGGGGATCGAACCTCGGACCATGTGCATGGTCGGCGAGAGTCCTAACCACTGTGTGACCAACGCACATGACCAATGAAAGTTTGTAATTTGTAGGATTACACGATCAAAGTTAACAACTACCACCTACCCGAATAATTTCACTAACCAAATCGATTTGTAGTGTTGTAGCGATTTTCACATCTCGCCTTGATTTCACTATTCGATAAATGATGATACGCGTTCCTGAAGAAAACAGTAGCTATCATCACATCACCCATTAAATGATAAATACATCTGGAATCTGTTGGTTTTAGCGTCTTACTGAAAAACAACATACAGGTTAAATATCAAAGCGCACTTAATTTTAGTTGAATCACTAACCATAGACTTACGATGACAAGTATGGCAAGTTTATTAAGCAAAGTAACTCTACTTAGTCACAAAATGTTGCAAATAGTCTTAGCAATCTAAATAAAAGCGGCGTCTGTGTGCAACTAAAGGGAATACAATTTTAATATCTGATCGTCAGTGTTTCACCAATAGATTGTAAAATTATTAGCATATTACACAGGAAGAAGTTAAGTATTTTCGAATCGGACCAGTGTTTAAAGAGAATAAAATATCCTAATCCAGCTATGAATTAAGTTGTCTGTTTGACTGCCTCCGGAATATGAAGAACGCCTTGAGTTGGCGTTTGAAAAACATTACATGACCTATCGCTGCTGGATGCTACTAAAAATACCTCAGATTGTAGTATTTGTTACCAATCTCTTACAAGAAACAGTGATGAGTACATTGCATGTGACAACCTTTAGATCACACCGGTCATTCACAAGTATCTTGTTTAAGTATTCACCTGCTGCCGCGTATCGTATAAGGATGTGAGAACACAAATGTCTAGCATCATGGTGATGAATAGGCGAATACGTTCAGTCTTAATCGAAAATTAGATACCAGCAGAGATCGCTTGAAGGCTTTGTTGCACACCTATTCAAGTCTTACTTGATCTTATGGCATAATCTAAGGAGAGCTGATCAGATTTACAACGGTGTAGCAATATACGAGAATTTTACAGCCGCAAAGTATCCGAGAAAACGCAAAGTTTAGTGAATTAATCTGTTAAATAGGATTTAGTAATTACTTCACGTGTATCACAGTTACTTCGAACACTATCCACCAATCAAACCATATGAACCCCTTGGGAAAGAATGTTCTAAAACCGCTTTGATTTTTCAGGAAGCGAGATCTTACTTAAAAAATGGAACTCTAGTACTTATTTTCGAAAGTGTTAGAAGTAATATGACTGAGAAACACATGATAAAAATTAAATTTAAACTTAAATACACATACATACGTTCCTAAGAAATTAGCAAACCTTTTGTGTTACTTTATCCACTTCATGATGAATAAAATTGCACTGTTCATCAAAATGTTGAGCACGAAACATTCCACGACGAATTACACGACCTGGCATACGTCCTTTGACCTCCATCATCAAGCGTAACATTTCATTATTAGTCTTTCCAGGGAACATAATTTTCCCAGTGTGTAATTCAAATAGCGTTACACTTGTAGACCATAAATCCACATTGTAGTCATAGGGAACACCTAAAACTAAGGAAGGTTAAACAAAGACTTTAACAGGAGGTTTTTGCCAATGCATTATTCGTGTTAAGATTAAGAAATGCGCAAGTCCGAGTTTACTTACAACTCAGCCGAAATTGAAGCAACCTACTGAAAATTGAAGATTGCAACTCTATTTTGATGAGCACCTCTGGAAATTGATTACATGTAGTAAAAAGAGCAGTACTATCACCACCAAATCCTTGACACTGATGATAGTGATAGTGAAAAGATGTTGCCACTTTTATTAAAAATTAAATCAAATTGAAAATATTTAAACAGAGTATGCTTATACATAAATGGAAAAATTGAGATGAGCGAGTATAGTCGACAAAAAGAACAAAGAATATGAATATAACAGTTATAGAGACTGGAAATATTTAGAACATATATATATATATATTCCTCGTAGTTCAATCATCTGCAATCGATTCACCGTGATCACATAAAATTATATACGCATCATGTGTTTCGAGACATTTCCTGACAAGTCTATCACCAGTTATCTGAAGTAACTGAAAATCTACCTTTTCTAAGTAAAAATTACCCTAACAATCTGCACAATGCATAAGTTGTCAGAAAAATAGCTTCAATGGGAAGTTGTCGATTTCGCTTTCTAGGGTGACACATATTTTGAATACATTTGAATGTAAAAATATTAATAACACCCCTATTTTTTTGTTTATTATATATATATATATCCTGTGAAATCTGCCTTTACTATCTTCCCTTGCTCTTTGTACTACATGAAGTGTGGCAACTCGAACTGCTGCAATTCTGTGCTAAGTTCTCTGTTGAAACCAGTCGGTCAATCAAACAGGAATCAAGGGCAGGCATGAGTCTGTATAAAAAACAAGGAACAATCTAGTGAAGTTGTAGCTAAAATTCTGAACTGGTTACCACAGAATGTACTTTAGTTTTTTTTTGTTAACTGGATAAGCTGCCATATGTGCCACACATAATCTAACTTAAATACTATTTGCAAAATTAACTCCTCAGTTATATCAAAATATAGAACTGCACACATTCAACTGGAAAGTAGACTGTCTACACATTAAATTAGAACACTACATATGAGACAAGAACAACAATATATTGATCATGGGAAGTCCCAACAACTAGAATCATATCACGTTAATTATCAAAGATGCCAAACAAATTTAACACAACACATATATATATATATATATATATATATATATATATATATATATATAAACTAAGAATCATCATAGTGACCACATAAAATAAAATTATTTTTTTTAAAAAAACAAACAAATAAACGTAAAATTCACTAGGAGCGCATAAGAAAGATTACCCTGACTAAAGGTAGGTAGCAAGAATACAATCTCACCAGAGCTTCGATACAATACTCCATATATCTGGACCACGATTATTGGATAGAGAGTTCATGGTCTGATCCGTATTGAATAATAATTATCAAAAAAAGTAAGTAGAAGAAGATCAGTTTTATGAAAAGACAACGAAAAAACATTTTTAATATTAAATAAGCATAATATTTTTTTTCCATTAAATTTAATTTACACAATTAGACGCTTACTTATTTCTGGGGCACGATAAAAACGTGAAACAAGATAAGGTGTAATATCATTATCCTGTACAGTAGACGCTGATCCAAAATCAGATAACTTAAGGAGTATTTTGCTTTCATTTACCAGTATATTATCAGGTTTGATATCTGCATGTAAAATACCACACTTGCGCATTAATTTTAAAGCTAACAAAAGCTGTTGTGTATACGAGCGTATGGCAGCAATATGCAGCCCAATATTACGTCCATATTTTTTTAATACTTCACGTAGATTTAAACTCATCAACTCGAATACCATGCACAAGTGATTTTTATGAAAGAAGTGACGATATAGTCGTAAACAATGGAAACGATCGTGTGGATCAGCATCATTGAGTTTTTTCAGTACTTCTAATTCTTTCAGACCAGATTTGTGCCTAAAAAGAATGAATTCAAGAGGAAGTGAGTAAAATAACATAATTATTAGCATACCACTAAATAAAATTATCAAGCAAAAGCAACACTAAGTACATAAAAGGCGTCTGTGGTGCAGTGATAGAATGCTCGCTGACCACGCGTGTGGTCCAGGGTTCGATACCCGGCCAACACACTCCGTAACCTCGCTTAGCTTGTAACAAGTCCGGCAGAGGCAAGGTTGGGCATGAGGCTAGCAATCCCAATCCGTAAACTGTAACTTCCAAACTCAAGCTTGAAGCCCTGTGCTTCATTCGGAACGCAAAGGATATAAGTAAGAGTAATAATAATAAAGTATGTTAAAACATCTCCACAAATGTCATAGAATAAAACTTCTAAATAATAAAATAAATTATTGTAACTTACATCACATCATTGTTTCTTATTATCTTAACTGCAACCTCTAAATTACCACGAGCGCTGTCTCTGGCTCTAACAACGTTTGAAAACACCCCATGTCCAGTATATCCATAAACAGTATATCGTTTGTCCAAAACTTCACCAATACGAACACCTAAACGAGGGAAATCACTTCAAAAATCTTATCGAATACAATTAAACAAGAGATGCACTCAGAAGCGTATACTCATCATACACATAGATACATACATACATACACATACATACATACAGATACACACATTCTAACATATTGGGGACAAATATTTTGAGGATTACTCACTAACATCTCGAAACGACACAGATAGGCTGGGAATCTAGACAAAGGCGAAAGGCTGTCAAAGGTCTAGCAAAGGTAAAATACAGGAAACTATGTATAAAAATAAAGGTAAAGTAGGAGGGACACAAGTTACTTGAGGCAACAATATTACTTGAAATCATTTTTTGAACGCGCGAAGAGTTTCAATAATAGTTTGTTGTTTTACTTCATTTGTTGTATGAGGGCTGAGATACTGCCCGGGCGCCCAGACCGGAGCAGGTGGTTTTATTAAGGGACCGCCCCCCGAGCCTTTGACTTACAGTCTAATCCGCAAGGCAGTGGAGCAGCGTCAGGAGCTGCATTCCCATGGTAACCGGTGGCCCACATCTGTTCATACGCCATTTGATCCGACTGGATACTGGAGCCCATGTACCCCATCGTAACTGCTTGTAGTTTAACCGCTATCCAAACAACCTTCCTGACATGGTAGGACCTGCAGGGATATGAGTACCAGTTAGTTTAGCTTGCTGGGTCATTGCGGTATTCAAGCCCGATCACCACGACAAAGTAGCAGCTGTCGGCCGTGTACCTGGGTAGTTTTGTGAGTGCTGGCAGAGGGTTGACAGATGAGATTTCCAACCGCATAATGAAGGCTAGGGTGGCATACATCAACTTAAGCCACCTATGGCGCCATCGCGATGTTAGCCTGGCTGTCAAAGGTCGGGTATACAATGCTTCGGTGCGGGTTGCCCTGCTCTACGCCTGTGAAACCTGGCCTCTCCGAGTGGGCTGAGGATGTATGGCGACTCTGCGTGTTTGATCATCGCTGTCTCCGCAGGATTGCTTGCGTTCAATGGCATCATCGCGTGAGTAATTCTGAGGTCCGGCGGCGTGTGTTTGAACACACTGGAGATCACCATTCATTGAGTGTCGTCATCTGGAAACACCGGCTCCGGTGGCTTGGATATGTGTTGCGAATGTCATCCCAGAGGCTTCCGTACAGGTCTCTGTTCGCTGGCCAGCCCTGGGACGGAGTGGAAAAGGCGGAGAGGTGGTCGGTGCATGACGTGGAGCCGTGGGATGAAGGATTTTTGTGCTAGATTAGCATCGGTTGGTGTGTCACAACTCCCTGGTTGAGGTCCGAGAGATAGCTGGAATTGATGGCTCGAAACGTTATCGGATATGGTCAAGAATCGTAATCAATGGCGAACGTGTTGCAATTTCCTTCCTTCTTCCCTTCCCGATGATAGCTAAAGAATACTGTTTGAACTTGTTAAGCATGAGTGTTTTCCTTCCAGATGAAGTTCTTTATGCATTCTCTACCTATATATTTTTCTTTTCTTTCTTTTGATCTATGCTGTTTTATTATTATTGTGTGGCGCATCCTTCTTGGTGCCATATTGTACCAAGTTTTTATGCGTTTAAATAAATAAATATTCTAACATACGATGGATTCTGGTATAAAGATAGTTCAAACGTCCACAATACAACACCAGCCTAAAACACTAGAATTCGGAGTCCGTCAATGTATCATGGTAGTGTCAGTAAAGTGCAATGGACCCAAAAGAAGCTTAAAAACTTACGGTAATATCCCTCTGCATCATCCCAGTTGTCTGTAAGAGAGTGATTTTCAGAAGCCATAGCGCCTATTGCCATCGTGCCTGGTGCATGATGTAACTCCACCTCAAATTCCTCAGCAAACATATCAAACGCCGTGGTTCTGGAATTACATGTATTCATATGTGATTCAGTTTTTCTTTTGTCTTGAAGAAGTGCCATTGCTGCAGGAGCTTGTAAACCTGATAAACGTCCACTTGGTGAATATGACTGATCTGAGTTTAAAGAAATTGGTAAAAATAAAACAAAATATTATATATATATATATATATATATATATATATATATATATATATATAAAGTGAAAATTAATATAATTTTTATCTAAATAAGTTACTTACCTGAATTATTTGTTGGAGCTGCCTTAATGCACTCTAACTTGGCTTGTACAAAACTTTCGAAGTCAAAGTCTTCTGTGTCATCAAACGTACACATATCTGTTAGACTGTCAACCTGATTTATTTCAGAGTTTGGCTTTTCCGCATCTTTAGTAACAGAAGCAACTTCAGTTTGGTTTTCAGTCTCTAACTTCTTTAGTAAGAAAAAGTAATTAGAAAAGTTATATTTATTCATATTTTAATACTAACTTCCAATAGTTTTTGTCGTTCTAAGCGTCTTCGTTTAATAATATCTTCCTCATTTTCTTCATTTTCAACTAGCGACGAAGATTTATCCCTACACAGAATTAAGAGAAATTTGGCGACTTACTCATGATCAGACACTGACTTACGACTACTCTTGTCACGTTTTGAAGACTTGCGAGATTTCTTACGATGAGAACGTTTATGTTCATGACTAGTTTCACCACTAGGACTACGATGCTTGGACTTCTTGTGATGTCGACTGTAATCATCTTGTTCAGTGTATGATCTTGGATATCTATCTTGATAATTATTATCATCGTATTTATCTACATATCCCGAATAGTGGTTATTGGATTCCCGATAGTAGAAATTAGAACCATAGTGGTAATCTGACTCATCTCGATGAGAGCGGCGTTTTCGATGTCTGTCATCGCGATCGTTTTTTATGGACAGCATTGATAACCTGAAAAAGATTATCTACCTGATGAGCATAAAAATTATCAGGAAAAGTATTACTCGTGGTCTAACTCCCAGAAGAGTATAAAATAGAACTGTCTATCATGAACAAGATTCTGTATTAAATAATGGGCTGCTACATTACAAACCCCAAGTATTAAAAAACCAAAATATCAGTTGTTGTGTTCTAGGTTAATGATGCTTATCATTTATGGTTGTTAAACAGCCCACTTGTTTACCTAACAATTTAATCTTCAATACTGACTGAAGTATAAAGTTGGGAAAAAACTTCCAACCTGATGTATGACTTCAACCTATATATTTGCTGGTAAGGCAACATAATTAGCTATATCAGGATAGACGACTGGAACGCTGGAAAGAGCACTACGAGGAGCAGTTTAATTGGCCCATAGGCACGGTAAAAATCTATGGTTGGAAACAATTGGTGACATGGCTCAAAACCGTTCTCAGTGGCGCAGATGCATCCACTCCCTGTGACTTATGATCTTCAATGAAACTGTTTTGTATTTCTTTATTACTCCTTTGTCTCACACCTCTGCTCACTGTTTCTATTTTGCTTTTCTTGTACTTTCTTCTCTTGCTTCGCGTGCTACACGGAATGTGGCGACTTGAACTTCCGCACATTTGTGTCGAAAACAGACAAACAGACAGACAGCCACGATCAACCTCCCGAACATCCAACACCACCCTGAATGGGATATAGACACAGGTCCTCCATCCCTAACTGAGGTTACTAAAGCTGTCACCAATCTGAAACAAGGCAAAGCAGCAGGACCTGATGGAATGACTCCAGAGGTATTCAAGTACGGTGGAGACAGCTTACTGTCCGGATTAACTGAGGTACTAGGCAGCGTCTGGGAATCAGAAGTCCCATCGGGTTGGTGTAAGTCACTGATTATCCCCATATACAAGAAGGAAGACAAGTCTTCCTGTGATAATCACAGAGGGATTAGCTTGACTAATATAGTATCTAAAGTCTTAGGCTCAATAATCATGCGTAGACTAAGTGGTCCTCAGGAGGCTCAAACACGAGAGAGCCAGGCAGGCTTTAGACCAGGAAGAGGGTGTATTGATCATATCTTCACCCTCCGACAGACTCTAGAACATAGGAATTCCTACCGGCGTCCAACAGTCATTATATTTCTTGACCTAAAGGCGGCATTGCACTGATTAAGGCACTCTACTCGTACTCATACAGCCAGGTGAGGGCTTACGGCGAGCTGTCATCTGAACTGGTGACGACCAGTGGTGTCCGTCAAGGATGCCCATTATCCACTTTTCTATTCAACTTCATCATAGATGTGTTAATGGACTTAACCCTAAGTGACTTCGGCGACTCAGGGATTGACTTGCTACCTGGGAATAATCTCGTTGATTTGGAATATGCAGACGATATAGTCCTTCCTGGAGAGGACTCTGACAAAGTGCAGAGTCTTCTAAACACCTTGAGCCGCAATCTACGAATGTTTGGCATGCGATTCGCTCCCGCCAAATGCAAGATGATGTTACAGGACTGGACTACACTGACTCCTAGATTAGAAATAGGAAGTGAAGTGGTAGAGCACGTTGACCGCTTCACTTATTTGGGAAGTACCATCAGCCAGTGCCAACAGGTTGATCTCTGACGAAATCTCAGCACGAATACAAGGGGCTCGTTTCGCATTTGCCAGTTTACGCCGTCTCTGGCGTAAACGAGATATTCGGCTATCGACCAAAGGGCGGGTGTACTGCTCATCAGTCCGCTCCGTCCTCCTTTATGGCAAGATGTGAGACCTGGCCATTGAGAGTGGAAGACATGAAAAGGCTGGCTAGCTGTCTTTGATCATAGGTGCCTGCGCTCTATTTCCCGTGTAAAGTGGCATAATAAGGTGAGCAACATTGAGGTTAGGCGTCGAGTGCTAGGTAAACAGGGGAAACCAATCGACGAAGTCGTGAAGTTACAAAGACTGAGATGGTTAGGACATGTGTTACGTATGCCAAGCCATCGCCTCCCTCGACGAGCAATGTTAGCGGATATAGGGTCAGGCTGGAAAAGAGCTAACGGCGGTCAAACAAAAACTTGGCACCAGTCAATGAAATCCACAACAGTTGGTCTAAGCCACGTAGGAAGGTGTAGACTTCCAGGCTGGGGTCCTCGGGACGGTAAAGACAAATGGTTGGAAACAATTGGTGACATGGCTCAAATTGATCGTCCTCAGTGGCTAGCGCAGATGCATCCACTCCTTGTGACTTACGATTTCCAATGAAACTGTTTTGTTCTTCGTTATTACTCTTCCTTTATCTCACATCTCTGCTGACTGTCTCTATTATGCTTTTCTTGTACTTTCTTCTCTTGCTTTGTGTGCTACAAGGAGGGAGTTTGGCGACTTGAACTGCCGCACATTTGTGCAAAGTTCTATGTCGAAAACAGACAGACAGATATGCTGGTAAGTGTCGTGACAACAAAACCAAAGCTTGTAGATTAGACATTCTTAAGATTTAATTACAACGAAGCACAGTGAGCTCTTCATAATAAAACAGTGACACCATATAATTTAAAGGCGATTATGTTTGACCTACATTATTATCAATAACCGTTGAAGATTAAACAATGAACAGTCGGAATTCACCTGCAGAAACAATTTGATCAGCTTGCTGAGCCGAAAGTTATGGGAAAAGAGACAAGCTTATGTAAATAATACGTAGTATTCTATAGCATTAAATTAGAACAGACAGACAGAGAAACTAGTGAATAAATACTAAAATTGATGAACACAGACTCATCTTAAGATATCATTTTTATATTAGCATTTGAGAAGAATTTGCTCGTCAGTGATATATATATATATATATATATATATATATATATATATATATATATATATATATATATCTTCATCGTACTTTCTGGTACACTGGAGACAAAAGACTAAGATCGCAAATACAAGCCAACGCAATAACCTTGTACAAGTCTGCCCGATTAACTATCAACCACTTAATGGGAAAGTGTAATATACTGGCCCACTATCTAGAAGCTTCAGTGAGATTGGAGACCTGAACACATTGGTTAAAAATGATCTGAAGGAAATCAAATGTAGTCCCCACACTACGACAAGTGCAACCTACACAGTGATTACGTTGCGAAACTGTTTATATACCAGGACTAGTATCCCCACATCATATGATTTCACAAAACATCGATACTTAGAGACACTAACTTTATTTTACCCTCTATCGTTGGAAGTTAATGTCATATTACTATTGATTAGGGAATGGGTTAAGATCGAAAATGTATAAGACCAAAGTACAAATAATATAAAACATTCGCTAACTTCGATTTAATATGCCAACGCAAAAGGACTTCAGAAAAGCTAAGCAGAAACTCACTTTTAGCTGCTGGTTCATAAATGTACACAGCTCCTTAGGTATCCACAACTCATTTATTATCTATCAACAAGGTAGACAGAAAATCATTCAGGTATAAACCAGTCCATATTTCGAAACTACTCAAAAAAGAACACAGGAGAAACGTGAGTGGGATCAAATTAATGATGCGCAGAATACGTGAGCCGCATCACGACTGCGACTCCATTTTATCTTTAACAGCACGAGAACCGAATCCTGTAGAGAATATATGAGACCTTGCACTACTAACGGTGATACGCCTTACAAATGCATCTAAAGCGAGATGAAACGGTTAAAATCATGAAATAATACCATGACAGTTAAGAAACTACAGTTAATTCATGAACAGTGGCAGATAGTCGTATCTAACCTAGTGACTCAGTTCAAGAACCACACACTAAAAAGCAATAGTGTCTGGTTTTGACCAATCCCAAGTGTAAGTCAGCGAAAGCAGCTCGAGCTTTTCGGATCCTTGCTGAGATTTCGTCGCCAATCAGTCCGTTGGTGCTAATACAACTTCCCAAATAGGTGAAGTGGTCAACACGTTCTATCACTTCACTCCCTATCACTAAGTTAGGAGTTGACGTGGTCCAGTCCTGTAGCCTGATCATCTTACATTTTGCAGGGGCGAATCTCATGCCAAACATACGAATATTGCTGCCCAAGGTGTTCAGAAGACTCTGCATTTTTTCAGCATCCTCCCCTAACAGGACTATGTCATCTGCATATTCTAAGTCCATAAGATTATTCCCTGGTAATAAGTCGATTCCTAAGTCACTACGTTCAGTTAAGGATACTTCCGTTAGCACATCTATGACGAAGTTAAACAGAAATGGGGAAAGTGGACATCCCTGTCGGACACCACTGGTTGTTATCAATTCAGATGACAATTCTCTATAAGCCCTTACACGGCTACGTGAGTTTGAATAGAGTGCCTTGACTAGTGCAATGTACTTTCTTGGCACTCCCTTCACAGTCAGACATTGCCATAGTACCTTTCGACCCACGGAGTCAAAGGCCACCTTCAAGTCAAGAAATATGACAATTGTTGGACACCGAAAAGTGTGTCTATGTTGTAGAATCTGTCGGAGAGTGAAGATATGATCTATGCACCCTCTACCTGGTCTAAAGCCTGCTTGATTTTCCCTCGTTTGTTCCTCCCGAGTTCTGCTTAGTCTGTGCATGATGACTGAGCCTAGGATTTTAGAAACCATGTTCGTTAGGCTGATTCCCCTATGATTATCACACGAGGACTTGTTTCCCTTCTTGAAAATCGGTATAATAAGTGACTTATCCCACTCTGATGGAATCGTCTCTGATTCCCAGACGTTGCCTAGTACCTCAGTTAATCTACATACTACTATAAATTATCTAAATTAATCCCAGCGTGTTAAGGAAATCAAAAGATTTTTCCGAACGTTTCACCGTGTAAGCCACAGCTTCTTCAGCAGATTTATTCGGATCTTTAGAAACCGATACTGAAATTCTCATTTTGATAGATTTCACCTCTAATAATCAACACCATGTGATAAATCCAATTTCTCCGATTCAACCACCCATAAGTGAACAAGATTTACCACTCATCTCACTGGTTTCCATGTTTGCCTGCTTCAATTCAATAGCTTCCGCTTGGTTAATAAATACAGGATCTGATTCATTTAAGCTGGGCTAATTATTGAGAGAATTACTGCTATTTCACAGATGATCCACACCTTTCTACAAAATTGCCGGGGTAGTAAGATATGCCAGACAAAATCTAACGTTTACCTTTGGATCCACAACACTTAGCAAGCTTGCATTTGTATCAAGGTATGAATGTCTGAGAAAGACCTATTTAGAAGCGGTTTTTCATTTCTTGTTTTAGCACCACCCAGTCGGACTCAAAAGGGTAATGGGTGATTACATAATGGTTGATATGGCCAGGTAAGGTAAACATGGTTAAATTATGGGCATGTGGTGATTGACAATTTCTATCTCTGCATTGTTTAAGTACTTACTGTTGATTGCCAATATGTTTCATATATGAATTGCATTAGAATTCCGCTAAACACAAATTCCTGAATTCCGCCCTCTCTGTGTTTTGTTTGGATTCTTTTAATTCGGTCATCTCGAAATACTAATACTACGATTACAATAAATTACTACAAATTGGCGTCGCGATGGAACTAAATAACCTGGGAAAATTTCCTCTTGATGGTTCTCCGCGGGAGATTGCTGATTATCTTGAATGCTTCGATGCGTGGTGCATTTCAAAGAATGTTCGGGATGACAAAATACCAGCACATTTCATTACTGCTATTGGGCTAGATGCGTATAGCCTAGTGAAGACTATGTCGTTTCCAGATAAACCAATTTCTCTGCCATATTATAAACTCCGTGAACTTCTTATAGATCACTTCCATATAACTACTTTTGAGACGCGAGAAAGGGCTCAGTTCAACAAACTTGCTCGTGCTCCCAATCAGAAGATAAGAGACTTTATTCTTCAACTTCAAATACAAGCTGCATACACAACTACGTGATCGTCTAATTGCTGGAATCAATATTCCTAAGTTAGAGAAAGAGTTAATTCAGATTCCTTCCTGTACCTTTCAAACTGCTAAAGATTTATGTATTACATATGAAGATGTCAACAGTGAATACTCTGCTCCCACTACGTCAGTATCTGATATCATGTTGTCCAAAGTCGAAAATACAAGTGTTCATGGAAAGAAATCCAAACTGCCGTCCACATGTAATAGAATGCAGCGAGAGATTAAAAACATTAAACCGTGTTTTTCCTGTGGAAAGTTACATCTACGAAGCACTTACCGTTTTCGGGGTGCTAAGTGTCACAAATGTGGTAAAGTTGGACACATCAAGACTGTTTGCAGAAGTTCGAATACTTATGTTACTCAGAATTCTTATAATTCTCCCAATTTGTCTAGTAAAATGGAGTCAATGTGTCTTTCAACTTTTCAAAATACTCAATCTCATCCAATGAAAACCTCCACTACAAGTTCAGCAACTCAAGCGTCAAGTGTACCACGTGTTTTCAACAATGAGGTAGCCGAGTTACAATGCGAACTGTCGAAAACACGAGAAGAACTGAATGAAATGAAAGAGCAACTGGTTAAAATGGAGGAATTGTTGCATATGCACAGACTGCGTCTGTTGAATGCAGAGCATACAAGTACCCGTGAAAGTCCTGCAAAACTTTTCAAATCTCGAATTCTCAAAAAGCATTTGATGTCCACGACTTCTAATGTACATTATTACATAGGGAATGACTACAGACCTTCTGTCGGAATCGTACTACAAAAAATGGGAAATCGAGTGGTGAAGATATTAGACATCAAAGATCACTCAGTTCATAACGGACACCTGGACAAAAAGTGACAATAAGTGAAGTAGGTCGTTCCAATTATAATATTAATAATTCCGCTACTAATCCTGATTTTGTAGATAATTCTGATATAAGTCCAGATAACAGTGATGAAGATAATATCACAGAATCAGTTAGAAGGTCTCAGCTGCTTGCAAGCAAACCGAGACATCGTTATAAATACGCAAGGAGATATTCGACGTGTGGCGGATGTGGTGATTGACAATTTCTATCTCTGTATTGTTTAAGTACTTACTGTTGATTGCTTATATGTTTCATATATGAATTGCATTAGAATTCCGCTAAACACAAATTCCTGAATTCCGCCCTCTCTGTGTTTTGTTTGGATTCTTTTAATTCGGTCATCTCGAAATACTAATACTACGATTACAATAAATTACTACAGGGCAAAACACCACTATGATACAGCAGACGGTTAGAATAAACTAAATTCTGGTTAAAAACATTCGGTTAAGCAATGGTCAAGATGGGGCAATGATCCTAATGGCAATAATCTTCTCACACAACCAAAATCCTCCTATTTCTTCACTATGGTCTATGCCCATTATTCACCCATTTTTGCCCCACTGGGTCAAAAGCACCAAAGTTCTTCCCTTTTTTAACAGTCCTCAGCCACCTCTCATCCCGGTGATGAACAGACTATTCATATCTAAACTTCCATAATCGTTGCACAATACACAGGTTACAGTTAAAGAACCATGAAGTATTCGGAGTAGAGTAACATCTGCTCCTCCGAAAACTCAGGTATTGACGTAAGCCACACTCAGACAACCCGTCGATTAAAGTCATTCTACCAATTCCATGCAGAAGAAAAAAACTGAGTAAATTAAGGTGTTTGTGCCACACCAACGAAACACTTCTGGTCTTACCGTGCGGAGTCCTCCATGATTAAAATGAGCACAGTGACAGTCAGTTTCACACTAAAACAAAATTTCTGATTTCTGATTTTCCGGGTTTTCGGTAAAGTATAGAAGACTTCAGGTCTATTCAGACATTATCTTATCCTTTTTTGATCAGTTGATTAAGGTCAGAGGAACCTTTTTTTTGGAAGTTGGTCCCAAAAATTAATAACTCGGTTGGTGAAATGTAGTACCCCTATACCAACAGTAAACACTTTTTTTAAATCTAAGTTGTATACTTATATTATATGTACTTCGCAAACATTTATAAATTTACCGTTGAACATTACATTGACACAATTTTTAAGATTTGACCGCTACTATAATACACTATCGTACTCTCCTCAAGTGCTGTCAATGGAGTTGAAGATTGAACGATCAATTCATGGTTGTTTGCTCAAAATCAACTTCCCCAATTTTCGCGGAGGCATCAATACGACAGTCATCGTCTCATCGGTCGCTGTTCAGAAAGAAGAGTGAAACATCGTCAGAAGTAATCTTATGATTTCTTATTGTAATATTTGTTCACAGACCTTAGTTCAGTTATTATTTTTATATGTTGGTGTAACAATAAAGAAATCTCAAGCGGCCAATCGGTGTTTTGGTTTTTTCGTCCGTTATAACTAAGCGTTTCTGAAAACTTCAAGGAACAGCGTGGGCCCGAGCGTAGCAAGAGCTGGGCATTAACGGTTTATGAGACGTGATTGACAGTTTCTGACGATAGAAACAGATTCTGGCGGATTCAAACAGTTGGTGAAAGTTTGGATAGTCACCGTTCATCTTTCCTGGTGCCGGTCAAGTCCTCTTTGAACAAGCAATATCTGGAAGTTTTTGGAATTGGGTCAAGTTCAACAATGCCTGGGTCAAAGAAGGGACAGAGTGTCTTGGATGCAAACAGGAAAGTAAGTCATTGTGACTTGTCTGTTAATTGTAACGATGTGTCTGATGTTAAGCATGACATGGTTGATGTTACTGTTTCGCCGTTCAGGGATAATAGGAACATCAAACTCCCTAAATTAGAACCACGGTGTTTTGATGGAAACCCGGCCGATTATTTACAATTTGTAAAGGAGTTTGAGATCATGTTGAGTAGTTTTCTATTAAGTGATGAATTGAAGTTAATGTATTTGATGAGATATTGCACTGGAGATGCTGCAAGAGCTATACAGTGCTGTAAGTTTATGAAGCCAAAAGAGGGCTACTACGAGGCTATGAGCATATTACGTCAAAGGTTTGGAAGACCTTCGATGATTGCAGGGAAATTATTCGAGGCTGTTAAGGGTAATGGTGGTCAATTACAGGATGACTCCCAGGCACTCACTGAGTTTTTAGATAATTTGCTAATTTACAAGAATGGAATGATTTCGATGAATCGCATGAGTGACCTCAACTCGAGTTTTATACTAGAAGTAATAGCAAGACGTCTACCTACTCGACTGCAAAGGAAGTGGGTGAAGATAAGCTCCCGTATGGAGGATGAGGGTATCGAGCCAAAATTTGATGATATCCTGAAACTAGTAAAAGATAGTGTCAATCAATCGATGAGCAAGTTCTCCAGTCTATTACATCTCACCCCTAGAATAGAGCAGTCTGAGAGCAAAATGCAATCATTGATGACGAGTAGGCCTCAGAGAGGTGGATATCGAGAAGGCTCCATGATGTCTAGTAATGCATATAGACCTAGTGAGTGTAACAGGTTTCGTAGTACATCCTCAACAGATAAGTTACAAGATGCAAGACAAACACGGTTGTGTTTACACGTTGCAAGAGGTGCATACAAAGGTGAACTGTGAACCAGTGAGCAAGTTCAGTGATAAGCTAAATGTAAACTCCAGGTCTGACTCCGAATTGTGTGACGATAACGGTGCGGTGAAGAAGTCTGTAGTTGCAACTGGTAAGCCATTGTTGAATAGAGTGTCACAGAATAGAGTTGCTGCTTCAGAGTGCAGTTCTGACCCTACAAGTTTACAAAGTATAACTAGTCAGAGTGAAGATATAAAACCTTTAATGATTTGTGAGGAGGAACCAAAATTGTCTACTTCTGTTATTAAAGAGTTTGAAAATGATGAACTTGACGGTAAATTGAATATTTGTGGTAATGATCATGATAGTGCAGATTTGTCTTTGGTTGATCATGATGAAATGGAGGGAATGCCTACTACCGCTAAGTTAAATAAAGGTTCTGTAGAACTTGAACGTGAAGTAGAAATAAATGCAGATGCAGTTGCAGAAGGCACGAATATTTGTGAGACCGTCAGTGTGATTGATCAGCATGTAGCCCACCTATCATCAGATGCTAGTGCTAAACCTGAGCTGATAGTAAAAGACAGCAGTGGTGGTGGTCTTGCAGGTAGACAAACTTCTGAAAGTCGAGCAACAACAGCTTCTGATCCACCGCTAAGTTCATCAACTTGTGTCACTCAGTCGTCGTTGGTGTTGTCATCCACAATGAAACAGACGCCCATCAACTCAAGTATCTTGTGCAATGACTATGCTAGTATCAGTTCGTTTGAAAGGACGAATATCAATGGTCAGTTTAGTGAGGATAAGCCAAGTGTAAACGAGAGAGTAATTGTTAAATTGACTTGCACGAATAAAGGCATTTCTAGTTTCAAGTTACTATTTGAATGTTATTATCTTTGGTGTAAATTACTCTGTTTCTACACTTGGTTGATGAGATATGTCGTGTGTTTGTTGGTCATCTATATTCTACGATACAATGACATGGGCGTGTTGCCGTTCAGATTTGAGGATATAGCTGATAGAAGGAAGTTAGCAAATGAACTCTGCGACGATTTTCCAACCTAGAGCGTCAACCTGAGAAGGGTTGTAGGCGTACTGCTGTAAGTCCTACAATTCTTCAAAGGGTAGCGCATCAATGAGCAGTCCAATGTGCTCGGTGTGTGATTTCGTACATATGTTCATATTGCATATACTGAATTGATATCATCTGTCATCTAGCTGTTGGTAATTCTGTTTGTGTCCGGACGACTTCCACTTGGATCATCAACCTGAGAAGGAATGTAGGCGTACTGCTGTAAGTCCTACAGTTCTTCAAGGGTAGTTTGTCATGCCGGAATCCACAACATTTGATGTGTTGATTGTACATATGTTTGTGTTAAATAGTTGTGTGAGTTCCAATCATTGTAATTGTTGATTAATCTTGTTTGTGTCTGGACATTACACAAATTACAATCGTCAACCTGAGAAGGGTTGTAGGCGTACTGGTGTAAGTCCTGCAATTCTTCAAAGGAATTCCATCGAGACACGATCTGCGAGTTTGTGTGTACTGTTTGTATATATGTGTGGTGTGTCGTATTAGTTGGTGTATTTTGGATTCATTGTGTTTACTCGTTGTTTTCGTACCTTGATTTTATTGCATAATTTTGTTAAAATTTTCGTCGTGATTATTTCTGAAGTTGTTTCCAGTCTTCTACATCCATGAATGAATTGATTGATGTTAAGGACAGCAGATGGGTCGTATACGCCGGGGAGGCTAGGCTATTGCTGAGAATGAAATGCACATGGAGATAATTGTTAGCTGCGGTCCGACACGCCGGGGAGAAAGAGTGTAAACGACTGAGGCTCGCATACGTCATCGTTACTAGAACTGAGGCAGAATGAGTGACAAGCGATTGCAGTGGTAATTGGTAATGAGTAGATACGAGGACGTGCGTAGAGTATCGTGAGGTGCTGCCATGGTCACTTTGCATTCTGCAAGAGTCATTCTAGCAAGTGGCGATTGTGTTGCAAGATGTCAAGAGGAGGTGTCTGTCTGGAGGCGCAGGTCGTCAGCGATGTGTGAGATTGTGCTGTGGGTATGCTTGTGGTGTGTTGGCTTTCCTGTTTGTTTTCCATTTCAGCTCTGTCCGTGTGACCCAGGTTCTCGCAATGGCATCCAAGTCAACGTGTATTGGTCGTGGTGGAAAAAAGGGTTGGATCCCTTTTTTGCCGGGGAGTGTCAATGTAGTTGAAGATTGAACGATCAATTCATGGTTGTTTGCTCAAAATCAACTTCCCCAATTTTCGCGGAGGCATCAATACGACAGTCATCGTCTCATCGGTCGCTGTTCAGAAAGAAGAGTGAAACATCGTCAGAAGTAATCTTATGATTTCTCATTGTAATATTTGTTCACAGACCTTAGTTCAGTTATTATTTTTATATGTTGGTGTAACAATAAAGAAATCTCAAGCGGCCAATCGGTGTTTTGGTTTTTTCGTCCGTTATAACTAAGCGTTTCTGAAAACTTCAAGGAACAGCGTGGGCCCGAGCGTAGCAAGAGCTGGGCATTAACGGTTTATGAGACGTGACTGACAAGTGCCTTTGGGTTTTACGTTGCGGGCATCGAGTACCTACAATGTCTGTGCACACTGATAAACGTGAAGAAGTAATGGGAAATACGTGTGCACTAATTTAGTCAAATAGCGGAAGCAACAGAACCAGTACTTAAAGGAGATATAATTCCTCCTTAGCTTTTTAAATCTCCTGTTAAACCGTCAGGGGAATAGCGACTGTAAGGAATGGAAAGGAGGGGATAGGTCATATTCATGGTCAACCCCTTCCGTGTCTATGTTATGTTACTCTGGAAAGCCTTTAAACTGTTTGCTCGTTCCTGATATGATAAGTGGATTACACCAAGAATTGTTTGTGTGGCCTTTCCCTAAACTCTTTATTAAAAATACTGGTTCTCTTTTGGGCAGATTTTGGCTGTCTGCAAGCATATTTCTAATTCCGACCTATTCTTAGATGTGTCAGAGTCACGAACGCTTCACTAGAGACGCTGGTGAGTGCCCTGTGTGTAACCATAAGGACAATGGGTTGAAGGAGGCCGCAGTGCAGCAGTGGGCCATTGTTTTAGTCTAAGGCTAAACCTAACACTCAGATGCTTGAGTCTGAACTGAAATACCAGATATCCCCTTATGTAGTAGGTGCTGACACATGCTTGAGCTATGTGATAACTTTGCCGTGTCCAAGGGACGCGTCCAT